TTTTTAAGGAGTCAAGACGAAGATTACTGAATAATGATCTTTGCAACGCTCTACAGAAGAAGCTATAAGTCATTAGCTCCTTCTAAAACGCGGAATTCATCTTCACGTTTCAATTCTTGAAACGCAGGCGACCCCTGCGTTTCCAAGCTTCAACAAGCAAAACGCAAGCGACCCCCGCGTTTCCAAGCTTCAACAAGCAAAACTCAAGTGACCCCGCGTTTCTGACCCTCACCAAACAAAACGCGAGCGACCCTCGCGTTTTTCAACATCCAGCGGGTGCCCAACTCCGCGTCTCCAGTCTAAAATATGGAGTTAGGGTCCTAAACGCCAACTTGGGCATTGTTTGACTCATTTAACATGAGCTGAACGGTTCCAAAACCGTTTCCCATGATTTGGGGGCGGTTACATCCCACTTAGGAGTGATTTAAGGGGCGGTTACACCCCCTTAATCCCCTATAAAAACGAGAAAACTCAACTAAGTTCGGATCTTTAGAGGCTGGATCCTTCATCCTTCGACTGAGGAGCAAAGAGGGGATTTTTGCTGGGATTTTTTCTCTCGGATTTGGTCCTTCGACTTGGCAGAAAAGAAGAGATCAAAGGCTGGCTTTTGAGGAGATCGGCAACAGGAGTTTCTTTATCCTTGGCTTATAACCGCCTTTCGGTTAAATCAACTCTTCCATAGAGTTTCAAACTCATTCAGAGTTATCAACTCATTAAGAGTTTCAAACTTGCCATGCAGGTTCTTCACAGCGTCAAATCGTGAGGAGGAGATACCGTTCCAGTGAATTAAGACGTTCGGATCGTCAACGGAGAGCAAACTGGACGCGAGCATTCGATAGAGGCACTCCATCGCCACCGTGAAGAACCCAGAATTAAACAAAGGGGAGAATCCAGATCATTCTCCTCTCTTTTGTAATCGGAAATCCAATTGTAATCGAGATCGAGAGAATACAAGTCAAATTTCTTTCATTTCTTATTTACTACAAATTTTCCACCAAATAGGAAGTTTGGTGGATATCAACTTAAGTTGATAGGAATCTTACTATATATATATATATATATATATATATACCTTTGAGTGTGAATTGTGATTAGCATGTTTCATATCTATGCTTGCTCACATATGAATGCCTTAGTATTTTATTTCATACATTCTATGTGGCATTTTAATAGGGGGAGCTTTTTTCCTACATTTGTTTTATACTCACCCATACCTATTTGTAGGGGGAGCTTAACGCTCTCTTTCTCTCTTGTTGGTTTTCCCCATTTTGATGTTGACAAAGGGGGAGAAACAAGTCAATTGTGAGTATATCATTCTATTAGTTTTATGCATGAGGGTTATAATTTGTATATTTATTTAGTATCATGCATATGTTATATTCTTTATGTAAATTGTTTGTCATCATTAAAAAGGGGGAGATTGTTAGGTCTCATGTTTATGAGCCTACTATCTAATCTAGTTTTGATGATTAACAAACAATTCCTAACAATATATGTTGAGTGTTTATATTTAATTGTTAGGTATTCTACACAAAGATTCTCTGGTTGGAGGTTAGATGGATTGCGCCTTAATGAAAACATTCAATGGAGGTTATCGGAATGAAGCTATTTGCAATTCAAAGTCAAATTCAAGATCAAGCTTCATCCGCAACCAAGACGAGCTTTAATGAGAGATCATTAGCTTGGGTATAGTGTTTTAGTTTTTAGGAGTTTATACTTGTGTGCAAATATTTTAAGCTCAATATTATACACACACACACATCGTTTTCATTTTACTAGCTTTCAAGTTTAGTGGATATAGTTATATACACACATATTTATTTCATGTTTATACGTGCTTGAAATGATTCTATTAAAATCAAGTTTTAACAATTTCATACCAATGAAATCATGTTTATTGTTTCCATATATTTGTAAGTTTGCAAAATATGTGTTTACGGATTAAAAGACTCATTTATATCATTTTACATATTTTATAAAGTCTATTAATCCTTTCAAAAGAAGTTTGAAACTTGTTTGAAATTATTTTATTAAGATTATATGTTTATTGGGATTTTATATTTTGGACTATTTTGCAAAATGATGAGTTTTAACAAATAAAAATTTTAATTTGAAAAACTATTTTTGTAACATGTTTATAAACATTTCCCCAACTTTTATATTTTTTAGAATTTATTTGATATTTTTAAAGAGGGTTCAAAGCTCATATTTACTGTTCATTCCAGGTCTTGTGCACGTTTTAAGTCGACTTGCTACAGTACCCAGTCGACTTATAAAGTGTTGTGTAGATGGTGTTTTTAATCTGCTGAGTCGACTCATAATATAATAAGTAAACTTATACTATATATGTCGACTCGTACATGTCATAAGTTGACTTACAATGTGTTCGTTGCACAGTAACAGCTAGTTTTAAGATTTTGTTATTTTTATCTTTTTCTTTGATTTTTGGGGTTTGTTTTGTGAACCTATATATACCCCTTACCCTCAAACTTCTAAACTTACTCAAGAAAGCTTCAAACAAGTTTTACAAGTGTTTTAAGGGTGTTTAAGGTTTTTGTTTCAAGTGTTTATGTGAAGTGGTTTTCACAAGAGGAAGAAGAGATTATTCATTCTTGTTTGGGCTTCAATTTCTCATCTCCATCACTCTTGTTTCAGAGAAGTTTTACTAAACTCAATTTCTAATTTGTGTGTGTGTGTGTGTGTGTGTTGATTAACTATTTCATTAAGCTAAATTTCATATTGAGTTTAGTTTTTGATTATACTCATTGATCACACACACCCACTTGAGTTTAAGTATTTCATACATAATATAATAGGGTTGTGAGGTTATAACATTGAGAGTGAGCTTAATTGTGTTTTCATCTTGTTTAGAGAACAAACACTTTATATTTGTGCTTAATTGTGTGAACACATTGTAATACACAAGGACACCGGGAGAAGTGTGTCGTGAAAGACGGGGTCGATTCCAAGAGGAGTGACGTCAGTAGTAAAACCTAAGGAGAGGTAGTAAATCCGAGCACTTGAGGAAGTCGACACGGGCTATGCCAATACTTAGAGGATGTATTGTGTGATTGCAATTGTGTGAATTGTGAAAGTTTTCGGTGAGCTAGAAAACTGATTGTGTGAGTTGTAAATATTTTCGGTGAACGTTGAAAACCGGTTGTGATAGTAGAGATTCTCCTCGTGAGTGAGGAGCGAAGACGTAGGTCGAGGGTGACCGAACTCCGTGATCATATTGTGTGTTTAAGTTTGCATTGGCGTATTATTCTTGTGCTTATTGCTTATCATATTTCTATATTGTCATTATCTCATTGTTTATATCACCCTTTGTTTAATTTCATATCATTGCATATAATTTATTAAATATCATACTTGCTAGGATATAATTTTTTAATAAAATTTAATTTGGCATTAATATCAGATTAGATTAGCATATACCCTATTCAACACCCCCCCCGGGTGCACAATATTTTTGAATCAGGCTACGTCCTCTGCTAACTCTATATTACAAGAATATTGGCTCTCTCTCTGCTTTTTTCCCTCCAACAATAGAAGAATATATATAGAGAAAACAAAACATTATCTCTAGCCTAACTTTCTAATTAGAATAGGATTCAAACTTTTAATCATGATGAGACCCAATCTCCTAACCATGATAGATTTCCTACCATATCTAATTCTCATGAAGTTATACAAAGAATCAAATACACAATCCCAACACGGGCTTATCTGCATAGAATCACACCCCTTGGGGTTTAGCATGATAAACTTTTAATTGCCGACTGTTTAGAAGGCAAGCACATACCTTATCTAGAATTTTTGAAAGATTTGTGGAAATTTGAAATCAATAGGTTCAAGAATATCCAAGGAGGACTCATCTTGAGGCTGGCCCCGGTACATATATGTAGAAAATACACCCCCTGCTGTTATGATTCATGAATGTGTATTCAAGAAACACTAGCAGAAACAAAGGCAACCTAGATAGAAAAACCGTGTAAGTTGCCCCGAAATCCATCTAGTTTGAACAAGCTAGACGGATTTTCATTTTGAAAAGACGGTCTAGGATAATTCTGTCTAACTTTTTGTCAACCTAGACGGAATTTTGTCTAGGTTGACCAAACTAGACAAAAAACAACCTAGACGGAATGAGAAAATCCGTTTAGGATGCAACCTAGACGGAAAATCCGTCTAAAATGCAACCTAGACGGATTTTCCGTCTAGGTTGATATAATTCCGTCTAAGTTGCTATATATCGTCGAATTTTTTTTTTAAAAATAATCGATTCCCTGTACATTTTACATTTACATGTATATACAGATCAATAAACATTTCCTGTTTATTTTACACCCACATTCAAACAAATATAATGCACATAATCAATATGTGAATCCATTCCAATACACACATCCAATACACACATCCAGTACACATAATCGATATGCAAATTCAATCCAATACACACATCCAATACACATAATCAGTATGCGAATCCAATCCAATACACTCTCTTATTGTTTCACTATAGATACATACATCACAGAGGCGCTAGATAGAAAAATGCACAAGACCGCATGAAAACAAAGAAATGAGCTTTTAATTGCAGGCCGTGCAATAATATGACTTTGATAGACTAGTTATGAAGATTCGATGCTGCATTTTACATTTTCTTTTTGAAATTAGATTGAATTATTTGATGTATTTGGACTAGCTTCTATGTTCTTTTTAGCGCCTTTACTCAAGAAGTTACATAACCTTTGGATATACAGGAAATTTATACATCTTCATATATTTGCATTAAAAAAAGTAGTAACATGCCAATTTTTACAACTGGAGGGCATACAAGTTCAAATACAAGTGAGGTAACGTAAGTGCAAAGTAGGAAAAATAATAAGTTGCCTAAGCATAATTAGCCCAAAATAGAAGTTGAGATCGGTAAGCGATTATCACATTAAACTTGCATAATTAAGTTGTGATATGCGTTTTTTTGTGTGGGGTTAAGAAATTTGTTAATATTAATATGGAATACTTATTTAATTACCATCTTTACCACTTACGAAATTGGTTAAATTTTTGCCATCAATGTTACAATAGTTCACGAACTCAAAATATGTAAGAACACAGCATGTAATCACCAACGAAACTTTAGGCCATAATCCCAGCAGACCGAGCATAGAGGCTGTCCACAACTTTACTGACATTAGAGATAGTCTCGAGAGTCGCAGGAAAGATAGCATCAGGTTTAGGATCCTCAAAGATAATAAGACAACCAGCACCCTGATCCAAAGTTCCAGCAAACTTCTTGTCAAGTATCATCTGAGAAAGCTTTTTCTCCACATGCTCCAATGGCAACTCGATCATCTCCGCAATATAAGCAATCTCCACTCTTGAATAGGGCTCAATCAACCTGCACAAATTCTGCTCCAACAGAGTATCATAAAGTGAAGAGAGATGCCTATGAACAATTGGGTCTTCTTCCAACTGAGCCTTGTAATCTCTAAGTGCAGTTTCAAAGAATTTCAGCGATCTTTTCGAGTACGCATCAGCAACAGCCTTCATAGCATCCACATCAGGACCAACATAGTTCAAACCAGCCTTGGATGAGATTATTCCGGCAACATCATCAGCTTGGTTAACCATAATCTTGCACAAGAGCATGTACTTGAGGCTAAAGACTGCTCGAGGATCTTCAAGTGCATTGAAAGCCTCAAAGGCTTCAAAGAAATAGCTGTAAGCAGTCTTGTAATCTTTCTCTTCAGCGTGAAGGATCCCACTCTGCAAATCTATTGTCCCTTGCTGAGCAGGGGGTACATAGATAGCATTAGCAGCAGTTCTTGCAGCAGTTAATGCAGCCTTGGCCTTGGGTAGATTTCTCAGAGAAAAGTGGAGCTTGCTCTCCAAAAGATCAATATCCACAAGAAGCAGCTTGTCGTCTAATCTCCTAACCTCTTTGATAAGGCTAGAAAGAAGAGTAAGGGCTTCAGGATACTCTCTGTTCTCCATCAGAAGAGCTGCAAGCCGAGCCTCAACTCGTTGCCTGAGAAATGTACGCTTCTCAGAACGGGTCCATTCTACCATTTCTTTGCATAGAGAGATTTGAAGGTCAGAAGTTCCCGGTATCTTGGCAACTGAATCTATTATCCCTCTTACTATTTTTGCAGTTTTGGCCTTAGGGATCAGAGAGAAAAAGGGTCGAAGTTGGGTGAGGAGACTTCTAAGTTCTTCAGCTTTCTTTTCTTGGGTGAGCAGTTCTGATAGATTGGAGATTGCCTGTTCTTTTATGCGTAATGCATCCGGTGAAGATGAAGGGTTCTCAAGTATGCGATAGAGAACAGATATAGATTCAGATGGAGATCTCGCCTCTAAGGCCTGGGCCAGTGAATCGGTGGTGGCAGGAAGGGGTGATCCTTGCATCGGTGAAGACATTGTACCTGGGGAAAAGAGAGAAAAAACTGATACACGAAGACATTATCGATAAACACTACGACGTATGTATACTCAGAGATTACTCATGCCAGCAAAACCATTAACAGCAAATTATTGATGGTAAGGCAACAGCAACTTAAGAAAAAATGGAGAACAGAAGCATAAAAAATTGCAAGAAGGAATCATAACATAAACAATAACGGGATAGTCTTAAAGACGTAATCATATGCATATAAGCACAAAAGCTTTACTGATACAGAGATTTGCACCCCCAAATGGGGTAAAATGGAATAGAAAGAGACTGTTTGTATCAGATCTTCTCTTAGATAAACAACCTTAATTGTTCATTTTTTTCCCAGTATCCACTGCCTACAAGTTTAAAAAATCCCCTTTCAATTAAATCCTGTGCTCACATAAAATTTTAATTTTCCATTTTCAAGTTACACAGAGAACGAATTTCAACCTAAAACCTACAGAGGTAATATCAACTATGGTGTTCTACTTCCCTCCCAACAGAAGCAAATGGCACCATAACTCATCAGCCAAGGTACTTCAACGAAAGGTTCTTCGAGCCAAAATATTAACGAAGACATAAAGAGATTAAACAGCATGTAGTAACATAACGATCTTCTTCTCCATTTACTGAAAAGGAAGTAAATACAATCTGAAAATTCAGAAGTAAAAACCACAGAGATGAAGCTCACCAATAGAAACTTAGTGGAAAAAAATAAGACTTCCAGTCAACTACGAAATGGAAATTTGCCTTTCCATACTGTGCTCAAGCAGTAAATGTCAGAATGCACAACAATATACTAGGAATGCTGGTCTTTTGTCTAAGCATATCAGCAATTTTCACAAAAGGCGTTAAGAAAATTACTCCTGTTGCATGGGTCCATGAGGATTTCCGAGTTTAATCAGTAATTAGATCCTAAGCTATATAATCTTGCCAAGAGCACGACTGTTTAGAGGATAACTTTCACCATGACTGGTTGGGTTTAACTTTCAGTAACCTCTTATAGTTATACCTATCATCGACTGGTTCAAAGGGAGCAATTTATGTGTAGCAAATCAAGTTCTATCATCCATTTATTACCAATATATCAAACTGTCCAAACGGGAGCATTAACCCTTGCATTACCCCAGGAGGGACCACTAGATTGCCCACTACAGAAGAGAATAGAGAAGGAGAAAAAGTCACTCTTGCTCCTGAAGGTAGACCACAAATTTGTGAAAAAAAAAAAAAACAGAATTGCTCAGGCTAATCATAAAAAAGAATACACTCACTAGGAGGAATTCAACCGTTATAGACTACTAGCTTCATCCTCGCCTAAACTTTTTATTTTCATGTTTCATGTCCTCTGATGCAACTCCTGATATCCATGTCAAGTGCCTCCTTTCATAATTACTTTACATGACTACACCCATCTTAATAAATCTCTATGACTGACCTCCATGCAGCCAAGGATTCTTCAATACTCATCTGTAAATCAGTCTGATTACAGCACGGACAATCCAAAATGATGGCCACAATGAATGGAAAATGATTAGTAGGGTTTTCTTTAGCAAATAAACCCTGGTTCTGAACACAATGGAAGAAAACGCTTTCACGCCTCTTTCCACAGAAACACTTGAACAACAAAAGACAACACAAGAATGTTCCTTTTGCTGCAGAATTACCTTAGTATCATGAAAATTAACATTTTTTCAGGTAATTGTTTCATCTACACTTACAACCTGGATTATACAATCTTACATTCAGTTCTATGGTTACTGTGCTTGCTCCTTGAGAAAATAGCAAACAGTTATTTATATGTTGTTACCAAAACATGCAAAGGTGCAGAGAAAGATGCTCAAGCCTGGTCAGCATATGGTGTCAGGGATAATTTTCTATCTATAGATCAAAACACTGGAAAGAAACATGTCCAAACTCCTAAGGTTGTAAAGTAATCACCAGGTCCCAAAGTTAATAAACATTAACTTGACTAACTTAATATTTAATAATGATGGTAAAAAGAGCACGAGGGAAAAAAAGATGTCTTAATAAACCCCAAACAACCACAAAATAAACAAGAAGCAGCATCCCATTCGTTCCCAAAGGGGAAAATAACTTTTAGAAGAACATGGACTATAAATCTTAATCTGTAGGTCAGAATTGAAGCTGGGAAATTTTAGTTCATTGACTATGAATCTTAATATATAGGCTATTTATTTATAAATAAGATAACCAAAACCAAAAGTCCAGGTTTCCACAAAAGAATAAGATAAGGAGACCAAATTAATAAGCACACTCTACAATAACAGAATATAAGTCTTATTATCCATGCTGGTCCTTCCAAACCATATCTATGCCCTAGGTTATTAGGACACTTCATCTAGGATGTTGTATCCATGTCTGACACTTCCCGCATCCGTGTCCGTGTCGGACACTCCTTGGACACTTCTTGAATACACAAACATTTATTTACACGTGTACTCAATATAACACATGTTTTAGTTTTAGAAAAAACTCGTAATACACTTCTTGAACATATTATCGTACACTTAACCTCAAAATGATACAACTCGTTAGACTCGGAACAAGTTCATTTTAGCACATGGATAGTTCATAAGTATGATTTTAAAGGGTACTTTGGGTATCTAGCTCAAAAACGAGCAGTTTTTCAAATTATAATCTACTCAATAAAAGAAACATAAAAATGGTATAAGGATTTTAGTTCTCATAACATGAGAATGATAAACAATATCGATCTCTCATAGATTATTAATTTTAACATGTATAAAGCTATGTCCCCATATCCTAACTTTTGCAATTTTTTCGTATCTCGTATGCGCACCAATGTCCGTGTCCGCACTCACACCCGTATCCATGCAACAAAGTCTAGGCATTAAAAGTATTCAAACTTCCACCAGTAAAGGATAATATGAAAAGTAAACCGCCACTTAAACCCAATCATTTGTCGATCACGTCTTTAACTAATATTAGGAAATTTAAAAGAACAATGTACCTAACAAGGAGAAAAGGTTTGTAAGTTACTAAGTTTTAGTGTCACCGAAACAATTGTTATATTCCTAAATGGACACAGGGTTGCAATGCGCGTAGTTCAGCATGATCTATAAACGAATACATATCCATATTTTTCTTAATATATTTACACTAAACATAAATAGCAATTAATGGCTTGTTATTCATATATGCTTAAAAGGATTGTCTGACAAAAAAATTAGTTCCTCAGAGAGGACATAGTATACTTTATCCTACGCATCTCAAGGAAAATATTGTGTTTGACTTCTAGATGGGCACGTAGACCGCCACTTAAACCCCCTACCATCTAAAGAATATTAGGTGGGGAGACACCACGGTTGATCTAGGTTCTCTTGGATAAATAGGACCACCTAGCATTATTGAAACCACTACTTCGAGGTGAAGAAATATTCAGAAACTAATAAGTAACATGGATGGTCATGCACGTTCTGTCAAGGAGTCAAAGAACCTGACTTTCATAATTACAAACTACTGAGCGTAATTTAACTCTATAAGTCCATAAGGACTTTTTTCATGTGAAACTTTGTTCAGGTAGGTAGATAATCTGAACATAATAGTTACTCAAATTTATGCTACTGACTATAGACATGATATCAACCATGCAAAATTGGGAACCAAATTTCTGCCACTTGAAATCACTACATAGATCATCAAAATCCAGTTGGAAACTAGTCATAGTATCTATATGATTTGAGCCATGTGATACACAAGTAAGCTTCGTAAGTAATTCAGCTAATAGTCTAATACTCATGTGAGTATTAGCGTAGGCTATAAAGTAAATAAGTGTATGGCTGTACCATCTGTTATTTAACATTTATTATGTGTGCTTGCAAGTGTATGGTGAGGGTGATATCTAGAAAGTTATAATGTAACAACAGGAGCATAAAGCATTAACAGTTTCTCGCAGCTTCTAGTACGACACAGTTTTATGCTAGAATTTACAACTGTTGTTTCTTGCAGCCTAGATATAAAGCAGCAAAAGAGAAAGGCGATATACTCAATATGATGATCCTTGGGATGTCGATATGGATCATTAAAGATTGTGGGGTTAACTAGACGCTCGCTTCCATTGGATATGGGCTTACACACACAAATTTGGAAGCCCAAACTTTTTGAACACAAAAGGTTAGAACATCCTGATTACATCTCTTTCACAGTTGATTTAGAATTCTCTAGCCAAACATCCAGGGACATGCAATAAAAGCACAACTGAAAATTGTGAAACTAAATATGACCAACTTCAGTGTTTCTCTTTGTAGTCAAGCAGCAAGCGCCATTATAATTTCCAAGGTCTATTACCAAATTGAAGGAAAAGGAATGTCACTATTCAAAATGTCATAAATCAGAGTAATACCAAAGGTGTTTTGCATGAACAACGGTGTGGATAAACGTCAAACAGAAAACCATAAATAAGGTTTCATGGAAAAAATATTTGGGACTTTGTGTGGACAAACACTAATAAGCATCATCGCGTAGCATAAAATGGTTGATCTTACAACTCTATCACAAAGAGACCATTTGAGATATGGACAAAAATAATCCAAACTGCGATTTAGGTGACCGATAAACCCAAATAATAATACTAAAAATCCAAACATATGCTGTTATCATGCTCTAGGAGACGAGGTATCCGCAAGTTGAGTACAGCAAGCAGAATTGTTGTAGTAAAAGCTTCGCAAAACTAAAACGGTAGCACAAAGGCATGAATCTGAAGGATCGAACAAGAGAAGTGAAGAATAAAATAGAGGTAACAAAAGTTTCCATGTTAGAGATAAATCTAATACTAATACTGTAGGTGTGCACAAATTATATAGATTAACAGAAGGTCAATATAAGTCAATAAATTGATGATAAGAAAAACATAAGCGTCCAAATCTTAGCTTCGTGCATTTTGTACGTAAAATCCTAAGTCACATTTCTAACCCCAAAATCTATACAGATCAGATCAAGTTCTTCTCTATACGGAGAAAACAAATGTTGAAACCATAGATTACTTCTAGGTTTTGGAATTCAAAGATCTATCTATACCTCACAGAAAAAGCAACAGGTAAAAATCCAATCTTTGATCTCTCTCTTTGCAAATACTTGAGATCTTGATCTAGATTTTACTGCATTGAAGAAATCAATCTCAGTTTGAAAGGAAATAGAAATCAAAGGGAAGAGATTTACCGATTCCTTTGATCGGGGTTTTTCGCGAGATCAGATATTTGAAGCAGCAAGAAAAGTCTCAACCCTAATCCAAATAAACCCAGGCTGGTTCGCTTCCTAAGAGCAAGTGCATGAAGTTTCTAGTTGGGAGTCTAGTCAGCAACCTCCCAAGAGCTCTCAAGCATTTTGAAATAAAAAATTATAAAAATAAGTCTTAAGAGAACATCATTACTTTATGGAGCTTCAAGAAGCTCCTAGTTAGAAGCTCTAACAATATCAAAAAAATCCTTCTTCTATCAAAAAAACCTCACTTCTATTGCAAAGATACAAAGGCCAAAGACTTTTTCGTAAAAAAAAATATTTCTTTAAGTCTTGGGTTTAAAAGTAAGGGGGGTTTTGAAAAAAAAACATTTTTTAATGCTTGGGAGCTCCCAAGAGCTCCGGTGGGTCCCACTGGCCACATCAGCCCAGGAGCCCATTGGGAGCTTGCTGAGAGATTGTTGGAGGGGGGTTTAAGAGCTCCCACCGCCACGTAGGCCTTAAGAGCAGCGGTGGGAGCTTTGTGCACTTGCCCTAAAGCTGGAGCCGAAAATAGCCAGATCTGACCTGATTAAAATTCAAACCTCAGAGCGGATGTACATTATAATCTTCAAGCTAACCCGACCCGATTAAATCTATCGGCCATCCATGGCGGAACTGAGATTTTTTTTTTAAGAAATTTTCAAAACAGCCTCAAACCATGTTTTAATTTTCAAAACCGACCCACTTTTTTTTTACCAAAATCCACCCACTTTTTGCACGTTAGCTTAATCTCATTCCTAAACAATCGGGGTTGGCAACCCCGACTGTTTAGGAGGTTGTTAAACCCTAATTAGAAACATTAAACCCGATTTTTTATGCTCTAAATAGTCGGGATTGGCAACCCCGATTAATTAGGAAATGAGATTAAGCTGACGTGGCAAAAAGTGAGTCGACTTGGGTAAAAAAAAGTGGATCGGTTTTGAAAATTAAATCATGGTTTGAGACTGTTTTGAAAATTTCTTCGTTTTTTTTTTCCCTTTTCTTTCTTTGGGTTAATTTCACATAACCCCCCTGAACTATCTCCTGAATTTTATTTACCGCACATGGGACAAGTTGCCTACAAATTGCGTGGCCACCTTTTAGGACGGGCATATTAACTTGTTTTGGTGCATAAAATTAGTTGGTATACGTGCAAGACGCTAGTACCCTTTTCGTAGCATCTTGTGAATGTAACCGATTAGCGTCATTACTTCGAAAGAACTATCGACGGTTTAAAACTTCAGCGTTGGGGCCATCAAACTTCTTGAATGTTGTCGCAGTTCAAAAGAGTTGTCGATAGAGTCACAAATCATAGTCACGTTACTTTTTTATGAAAAAGAAATTGAAGAAGGAAGTGTTTATCAGAAATAGCCAATTTCATTGAAGAAGAAACAAAAAGAAGAAGTCTAAGAAAGAAGACTTTGAAGAGAATAAAGAAAGACAACAATTTAAGTAATCCCTAAATTCAATTTTCGAGTACCATTGACAAAATTATTAGTATAAATATTTTTTTTTGTCGTGATATCAGTTTTTTGTCAACATAAAATTATTGGATAGCGGATTCCTAATCTATTTTGGTAACATGAGGTTATTAGGATTCCTAATCTATTTTGGTAACATGAGGTTATTAGGATTTCTAATCTATTTTGGTAATAGGTTATTAGGATTCCTAATTTATTTTGTCTTTTGGTTTAGAATTCCTAGTATGTTTATGATTTTAGGATTTCTATATATATGGAACAATTGGAAGAGAGAATTGAGAAGTAAATTAGGGATATTTGGAGCACAAAAAAGAGGTATTTTCTGAGCTATTTGTTTAGGGTTTTGTTTGGAGAGATTAAGAGCTTGTTGGTGAGATTAGTTTGTTCTTTCGAGTGATTTGTAATCTCAGTTTGTACTCTTTCTCTATTAGTGAAAACCTCATCCCCTTTCTTACCCCGTGGACGTAGGCAATTTGCCAAACCACGTAAATCTCTTTTGTTATTTGGTGATTATGCTTGTTTATTTGGTTGTGATCTCTCTTGTTTGGATTGTGTGTGATTCGACCGCTTCTGTGCCGCGCACAACAATTGGTATCAGAGCTTCGGGTTTTACTTGAGGCTTGTTTGAAGGATTCGCTGAAGGATTCCTATTTGAAGAGTTAGATTGACAACATGGGTGAAGCAAGCACATCGGGATCGTCTCTTACGAAGACGATACATAGTTTGAGCATCAATAACATGAAGATCGATGTTCCGAAGTTTGATGGTAAGATCAATTTCGGTTTGTGGAGGTGCCAAGTGATGGATGTGTTGGACGCTCAAAACTTGGAAGAGACTCTTGAGTTGCAAAAGAAACCTGCTGATATGGAAGAAAAGGTTTTGAAGAAGATGAATAGTAGGGCGTGTAGAGTTATTCGGTCATGCTTGACGCTGGATCTTATTTATGATGTGATGAACGAGACGTCGGCGAAGAAGATGTGGGAAACACTCAATGAAAAGTATCTTACTAAGAGCATTGAGAATCGGCTTTACTTGAAGAAGAGGTTTTACTAGTTCAAAATAAAGAGGGGAGTTTCCATCAGGAATCATGTTAACAGCTTCACGAAGCTACTTTCAGACATGGCCAATGTGGATATCATGGTTGAGGATGAAGACAAGGCGATGCTACTTTTGTGTTCGTTGCCTGAGGATGATTATGATACCTTTGTTCTCACTATGGTTAATGGAAGAACTACTGTTAGCTACAAGGAGGTGACCCCAGCGTTGGTGAATTATGAGTTGATGAAGAGTGTTGATGAGTCCTCCAAGAAGGTATTGGGAGATGCATTAGTAGTTCAAGGCCGTGGTTCAAACCGAAGCAGGAAGTCGCAGTCTAGAGGTGCACATCGTGGGATTCGTAGGAATCAGTGTGCCTTTTGTAAAGAGGATGGATATTAGAAAGCTAAATGCCTAAAGTTAGATCGAGCTAAGAAGAATAAGGGGAAAGCTGTATAAGCTTCAGAGGTGAATGTTGTCAAGACTAGTGGCAACAATTTAGATTCAGATTCTTCAGGCTATTCGTTATCCGTACTACCATCAGTTTGTGATGCCGACTCTATGGAGTGGATGTTGGATTCGGGTGCTTCTTACCACGTTTACCCTAGGAGGGATTGGTTCTCCAGCTTTCAGAAGTTGGAAAGAGAGGATGTCGTGCTCATGGGTAATGGACATGCATGCTCTATTGGTGGTATTGGTACTATTCGAATTAGGATGAGTGATGAGATGATGCGAGAGTTGGATGATGTGAGATTCGTTCCGCAATTGAAGATGAACATTATTTAACTTGGAGCTTTGGATGCAGCAGGTTATAGGGTGACCTTGGTGGACGCACGCTTGAAGGTCACATTGGGGTCTATGATTGTGATGAAGGGAATCAGAAGGAGCAATTTGTATTATTTGCTCGGATGCACGGCGATTGATATGGAGTTGGCGACTTCATCAGATTCGGCTAGACTGTGGCGTTGTTTGATGCTGGGTTATTTGATTGGTAATGTCGTGTATAGGTTATTAAGGAGTGCTTTGACCTACAGTTTGAAGTCCTGTGAACCCATTGGTATGAGCAAGAATACCGAGGTAGAGTTTGGCACTTCTATCCATCATTCGAGGGATCTTTTGAGGGGTGTTCATTCAGGCATTCGGGGGTCTTCCAAGGGAGCATCATTGGGAGGTAATAGGTATATGGTTTTCGCAGTTGGGGATTGTACTAGGCATTGGTAGGTTGCAACCAAGTCCCGTTAGTGTGAAGTCCTAGAAGCCCGCAACAGATGGAGGAAGTGTGTTGATAGAAAGGTAACCCGACGTTCTGATTATAGTAGGGATTCTTTCTTGCGTTTGTGCTGAGCTCACGGCAATAGGAGACACTTCATTGGTGTGGAAACTTTGAGGCGACGTGATGGCAGATTTGGGGAGCTGTTCTTTTCTGGAGGAGGATAGGCATTTGATGTCGAGCATTAGCATTGGTTTTATTGGTTTTAGAGCTTCGACATATTTGGGTCATCTCAGCCATAGGTTACTGACTGCTGTATGTAGAAATATGGGATCTGGTGGAGCTGCTTCAGATTTTGGGTTGCGTCGGATGTTTGGCTACCTAGTACTTGGTCACATCGTGGATGTAAGATTTGATACGATAGCACATTTGGGAGTCAGAGGCGTGTTTGGTTATCAGGTATTGGCTTCTGACTTTGTTCTCAGCAGGTATGTCACTTTTGACTCTCGGCAAGAGGAGAGTGGTGATCAGATCTTTTGGACATCGCAGCGGGTGGAGAGTGATGCTACTCCACATTGGGTGGAGACTCTAAATCATACTGCATCATTTGGGATTCTGGCTGATGTGACACAGATTGGGAATCGTGTTGATTTGGATGCAGATGATAGGTTGATTGATTCGAGTGCAGCTGATAGATGTAGTCTGGATATGTCCATTGGTTCATCTCAGGTGGAGATGTTTGGATTGTTTCAGTTTGGGGCCATTGGAGGTGCTATCATCCGTAGACTTGATCATGATATTGGAGAAGGGTTGCAAACTCTTCTAGTGGATTGAGGCTTTTGGAGGCCGTTTTGGGTGAACTATGTGAAGGCTTGATTCCTTGGGCAAGAGGATACGTAGGCAGTCATTTATGATGCAGCCGGTTTGGTGAGTAAATACCGACATTTAGAGTTTGTTCATATTCTCGTTTGGGTTCTCGACTTGTTATGGATTGAGTCCGTTGTCATGGATTTGTTCCACTTCGTACTGGACGCAACAAGTGAGATGTTTGGTTGGTATTGGTGTCGGCTCAGTTTTGGGAAAACTTCGCCGAGGTGGAGAATTGTTGGATAGCGGATTCCTAATCTATTTTGGTAACATGAGGTTATTAGGATTCCTAATCTATTTTGGTAACATGGGGTTATTAGGATTCCTAATCTATTTTGGTAATAGGTTATTAGGATTCCTAATTTATTTTGGCTTTTGGTTTAGAATTCCTAGTATGTTTATGATTTTAGGATTTCTATATATGGAACAATTGGAAGAGAGAATTGAGAAGCAAATTGGGGATA